CTACACCAACACCTTTAAAAATTACAAATGAAGAACAAAAGCGTAAAATAGATGATTGTTGTTAGAATATTATAGGAAGAAAAAAAATACTACATTTGTTATCGATTTACTCATTCGTTCTTGGTCTAATCTGTTCATATATCTCTGATATTGTTAGAAGTTCGCAAACCGTTTATAGTCAATACTGTTGGTTTATGTTCTCTTGATTGATCAGAATGGTGCCCTGTACAAGCTGGAGATGTAAGATGGAAGAATTTCAATTTTAATCTTATGTCGAAATTCACAGACATGAGATTCTATTTTGATTATTCGAAATCGAACACCTGGTCGTAATAGAATTTCTTTTTCTTCAGAGAATTGAGTGAGTGACGTTAACTTTATGCACTGATCTTCTGCTGAATGATGATCAAGTTGGAGTTCATACAGAATATTATGATCGCCATACTGTCTCGCCACTTGTTCACTAGTAGAAGTCGAAATAAATGAACGCCATTTAAAGTAGATGGTACTTTGGTCTATGGACTTCTGATATTCTTCGAAAAGTTCATCAGAAATAAAGTCTCCACGATAAAGTGTAGTCATTTCCGATTCAAACAGCTGAGATAGTTGTCGAAAACGATAGCTGATTGAAGAGTGATGATTTTCATGATAACTAATATAATTGAATAGTAGATAACAGAAGGGTCCAACAGTACGCAACTTGCTTTGATCTTCTTCCCGTAATGCTGTATTAACTACACGACAAACATAAGTATCTTGTGTATCAAGAGTAACACAGCATTGTTGCAACCTCTTAATTCTATTCTTATTTTTCAGTCGAATAGTTTCGTTTTTGAGGATACTTAATGTCTTCACAATTTTGTTCATATTTTTTTCGTCTTTTGGATCGATTCGACCTTCTACTTCTATACCTGCTATAAGCTTATTAAAGATAGCATCAAATTGTATGCCTCCTTTTCCTTGAGTAAATGTTAAAAGCCAAGCGTCGACGTACGCTGAACCATAAAACTGTTCATCCATATCTACTCCACATCTTAAAGCTTTTCCTAGTTGAATGGATAATCGTTTACGTAGTGCATCATCATTTTGACTTTGGTTATCAGAACAATCATGAAATGAATCGTCTGTATCGTCTTGCGAAACGCCTTCTGACACCGTATCATACTTACTAGTAGTACTGGAAACAGATTGCGAACTATATTTTCGAGGTTGTTCAGACATCGGTACCATATAATCTGATGTTGGCAATCAATTTGATTCTGTTACTGTTGATGTTATCTCAGTGAAGAAATCTCTAAAATATAAAAATTATAAACGAAATTATTAATTTAATTCTTTCCGAATACAATTAAAATTATACATGATAAAAATTGGATTTATTTATAAACTATTTCTCTCTCATAATATTACGAAAAACATTTTCAAAAATAAATATATACGTCGTCGAAAGATTGATATCAGTATTTTGGCAAGTCTTTAGATTCTTCCACGGGTATTTTAGAATTACGGAAAGCCAACGTTAGGATAATTCGACAGCGTTTTTCTAATATAGAACAGAAATGTAGAATAAAAGTAGTGATCAAACTAGTACATATCAGTCCAACGCAAATAAGATGACCCCGTCGATTACCTGGTATACCATCATCGTAAACCTAAACATAAAAATATCGTTACTTAATATATTGAAATTTGTTTAACGATTTTATCATTCTCGAGATTTTTACAAACAACAATCTTACAAGAGGCAATACTATTCCACCAATCTGTCCAATACCCATAATAAAACTAATAGCCATTGCTGTCTCTGTCCGACCATTAATTGTATTTGTTAGCCAAGAGAGAAGAAGAGGAAATGCAGAGAACATTCCACAACATGCGATACAGGTACTGATATACATCACTACTTTCGCATTAACGGGTAGAGTAATCCAAAGAACAAAGCCAACCAATGCTACAAGTAGGCAGGACACTAGATGGTAAACATGTTCATTTCGACGTGATGAAGAATAACCGACCAGTAAACAAGATATGCATGCAATCGTGTAGGGTGGTATTGTTAATAAATGTGCCTCTGCCGGACGATAACCCATAAGGTGGACTAATGATGGAAGATATGCGGTGAGATATTTAGTAACGGCGTAATTACCCATTGCTATTATAGCATACATATAAATTCTCCAATCGTTAAACACACAGAATATTTGTTGACATGAAGGTATACGATTTTGTGTGAGTTCATTCATGGATACGCCCGCATCTTGTAATAGACAATTTGTTAGTGTTTGTTGATCACTAGGTTTTAACCCTAAATTTTTAGAATTGTCTATAATAATTCCAAGAATCTGCAGATAAACTCTTACATCGGACAGTATTTGGTATATTGTCAAGGAAAAGCCAAGTAACAATACCCAAAGGTATAACTGGCGCACTTTCAAGTAAAAACATCCATTGCCAATCTTTCAATCCACCAACATGCTTCATAAAGGTAAAACAATATGCCTAAATTCATGATTATTAATTACCCATCAGATGAAAATAAGATGTCTTAAAAGAGTTCGAGTTATACTTACCAAAAGACCATTGAGCGCATTGGCAGTAATGGCAGCTGTAAAGACAATAGCCAATCTCATAGTTCGTTGTTTTTTGCAATACCACCACGAAATATAAATAATAATACCAGGAAAGTAACCAGATTGAGCCATACCCTCAAAATATCAAATTAAATAAATCCTACAGTATGTAGTTAACTTACAAGTAGAGCACGAACAATCATTAATTCTCGAGCATTCGTTACAAACGCCATGCCAACAGCAATACTACCACATGAGATCATTGACAATGATAGATAAGAAGTCAGACCAAGGTAGCGCATAAGAACGTTGCTTGGAATTTCAAAAATCAACTAAAAATGTAAACATATGAATATCTGTTGGAATTCATTTGTTTCATGTTCTTACATAGGCCAAAAAGAATATTGAAACAGCCCAATGTACTTCATAATCAGACATGTGTAAATCTTTATCTATGTTCATCAATTTTGCATGACCTATCAAAACATTTACAATAATGTATTATTTCAATTAAAATACATACCGATGTTCGTTCGACTCATATTAGCACTCATTTCGAGAAGAAAAAAGAAAGGAATCAATCTTAAATCGACTTTTCTAATGATACGATCTATATTGCAAGTTTGAAATTGTTTATTGATTTTATCATCATTATTAGAAATCATGAATACATTTTCATTGTCTTCCATTGAAGAAAATCTTCTATAGGCAACGCTTTTATCTTTTTTTGTCAATTGTATTATAAAAAGATTAACTGCGAATCAAATCGAAACTGCTTTTTATCAACTTGGAATTTTTTATTGTCTTTACATACGTGTTGCTCTTTAAAAAGGTAATAATGTTCTTTTTTCGGCTGATAAGTGAGAATTCTTTTTCATACATATGTGCACAGACACATAAAACTTGGATGGGAAGTACTTGAAACATATCGAACACTTTTGCATGTCTTAATATATGCAAAATCTTATTTTCAAATCAATAAAAAAATACTTCTATTCTTATACAATCAGGAAGAATTTTTATGAGGTGTATGTAAAATTGTCCTTTTTGTAACTGTTGCACGAATATAACGTGTTCTCTCAAGTTTGAAGTAGTCAATAGAAAACGAAAAAATAAAATTATTAGAAAAATTGTTTAGCATTCTAATAAAACATCGATTATTATGTTCAAGATTTTGCGTAGAATCGATTAGTTTGTATTTGGATTGAATTTGTATTCTACTATTGACTATAATTAATCGTTTAGTATTTATTGTCTATATATAAATCATATATTTTTACAATTATCAATGAAACTTTTATCATTATACAATCATCGTTTTTCCCCAACATGTAGTCATAAAAGAGCGCGTTTTTATCAAAGATCTTTAGAATACAGACGATTGCGTCGCTTATCAATCGTTCTTTTTATAGAAAAAATAATAGAATAAATCTGTTGATGTAAGTGTTTAATCTTGAGGGTAGATGTGAATCATTCAAAGATCACTGTCCACACTGATAGTTCACCTACATTCACACCCTTTGTACAAAATGTGACCATGTAAATTACGAAAATAAATGAATGATAATTGTATCAGATATAAGTTCAGATGATGAATATTCATGTTCAACATGTTTTTAATCATATTATTAAATGTATTTATTATGAAACAAATTGAGAATTTATAGGTTAGCCTAAACGCTCTAGAACTTTTCTAACAATTCAAAGTAAAAATACTATCAAATCTCATATTTACATCTATATATAGATACATAATCATAAATATGATGAATAATTTAAAAATGAATATCAGTTTTCAATAGTTTTTAATAAAATGAAATTTCATTCTAAACTTTGTGGTATAGGTTATAGCTACACACGTTCACATGAAAAACATGCTTATTTTATTTGTAAACTTGTATAATTTCAACATACGATTAAAATACAAAAGAAAGTGCTGTGAGATTTTTAATGTGCAGATTTACAAAGCAAATACGTGTTTTTTTGTTAGTGATGATATTATCTCTTATCTACGAAGAAAGTTGGAAGAAAATGAATTCCTTTTTTTTTTTGTTCTTTATACTCATCTAAATATCAATGTTCGTTTGCTTTTCTAACCATTAGTCATCCAACTTTTCAACTAAATACAATTATTGTCAAATTATCAATATATGTATAGCATGGCTCCAAAACATTCCAAACAGAACGTTAAATCGTTTTATGAGCCAAGAACACCCTATGTTGATCAATCACGACAACACATGGCACAGAATCACCTTCTCGTCTGGACAGATGCCAACATCAACCAAACCAACAAGCACTTCCAAAACGTATTGGCTCACTTGAACAACGTAGCCAGTAATATCAACCTATGCACTCAATCGGATCAATGTATCCAGTTGCTCAATCAGGTTCGCCATGAACGAGTCTTTGTCATAACATCAGGATCCTTAGGTCAACATTTAGTTCCTGAAATTCATAACCTGTCACAAGTAGATGCAATTTACATCTTCTGTAGTAACAAAGTCAGACATCAAGAATGGGCTCGAAACTGGACAAAAATCAAAGGTGTCTATACAAATTTCATAGAAATCTGTCAATTATTGCAATTGGTTGTTAAGCAATGCGATCAACAGTCAATTCCTGTAAGCTTTGTCACGGCAAATGAAATGACTTCAACTGATTATATAAATCAGTTGGAGCCAAATTTTATGTATACTCAGATATTCAAGGAAATTCTTCTTGCTGTCAATTATGATCCCAAGGAAATCAAGAACTTAGCAGCTTATTGCCGTGAACTTTATGTGGAAAATGAAGGTCAGTTACAAGTGATTAATGAATTCGAATGTGACTATCGTCCACAACGAGCAATATGGTGGTATACACGTGCGTATTTTATCTATCAAATGCTCAATCAAGCACTTCGAACGTTGGACGCTGATACAATAACTAAAGTACGTTTCTTTCTACGTGATTTGCATCAACAAATTGAACAGTTGCACGAACAACAGATCAGTATTTATGGTAAAGAACCTTTTGTTGTTTATCGAGGACATGGTCTTACGAAATCTGATTTCGAAAAACTCCAGAAAACAAAAGGTGGACTAATGTCTTTTGATAATTTCTTGTCCAGCAGTAAAAATGAACAGGTATCCCTCAGTTTTGCTCAAGATGCTTCAACGAAATCAAATATGGTGGGCATTCTCTTTACGATATCCGTTGATCCTTCTATCAAATCAGTACCATTTACTTTCATCAAAGAGGTGAGCTATTTTAAGCAAGAAGATGAGATTCTCTTTACAATACACACCGTCTTTCGAGTGGATGCGATTAAACAAATGGACAATAAGAATCAACTTTATCAAGTTGAACTACAATTAATATCGGATGATGATCAACAATTACAATTACTTACTAATCGAATACATGAAGAAACGGATGGTACTGGATGGCAGAGATTAGGTAAATTATTGATTAAAACAGGTCAATTTGATAAGGCTAAAGAATTTTATAATGTATTACTCGAACAGACATCGGATGAAGGTGAAAAAGCGTTTTATTATAGTCAACTTGGAAATCTTCACTACAATCAAGGTAATTATGAAAAGGCTATTTGGTATTTCGAACAAGGACTTGGAATTTGCGAAATAATTGTTCCTTCAAACCATCCTTTGTTAGCTACTTTATACAACAACATCGGTAGTGCGTATAACAAGATGGAAGAATACGCAAAAGCACTTTCATGTCATGAAAAAGCACTTGAACTTCGCCAAAAAATTCTTCCTTTAAACCATCCTGATTTGGTTGGATCATACGACAGCCTTGGTTTAGTATATGACAACATGGAAGAATATTCCAAAGCACTTTCATTTTACGAAAAAGCGCTTGAAATGCGAGAAAAAAATCTTCCTTCAAATCATCCAGACTTGACTACTTCATACAAGAACATCAGCGGTATCTATTACAATTTGAAAGATTTTTCGAACGCAATCTTATATTATGAACGTGGTGTGAACATCGAACTACATTCATTACTTCCAACTGATCCCAGCATTAGAGATGTGAAAGAAAATCTTTCATAAATAAAAGAATATTTTATTCACTTATATTTGATTTCATTTTTTTTTTGTAACTCACGCGCACGTACAGAGAACAACTCTGTAAATAATTAAAACGTAATGAGAAAAGCCGATCAATGAGGTAAGGATGTGGGTGAGGGTACATATTCTTTTATCACATTCACACCCACCTTATCGGTGAAAATAAAGTACAAAACATGTATTTGAAATGAAATGATTGACGAAGAAGAGATGAGTAATCTGAAGTTATTTTCGTATTCAATATAAATGTACGTCATTTGTGGGTACATTAGTTATTAACTGCTTCAATAAACGTCTTCATTGAGGAAGAACGGTATATTTTAGACGCAAAAAGAACGAAAAGAATTTTTATTTTTATCGCGGTTATTAATAGAATAATGAATCAACCTTGAATATTTGTATAAGAAATGTTCTTAAATGTGTTTAATCGATCATTAAATTCTCAGTGGGAGTTTTTATAATTACATGCATACTACGCAACTGTTTAAAATAGTTCGGATATAAAAGGACAAGAATAATTGAAACGATATAATACATATTCATCTAAACAAATGAAATTTACAACTATTATAATTTTTATTACAGCTTTGATCTTCGTGATCCTTGCTCAATCTGCACATGCAGATTCAAATGGTAATTATCTTCGATTTCTTCAACTTTTTAAACACGAGAACAAAGTAAGCAAACGTTCGAATAATTATGTTCAATGTTGGAGTCAGTATGGAGGAAAAGGTCGATGTTGTGGAACAGTCGATACAAGAGGTGTTGCAATTGGTAATATAGATAATCATTGTACTGTTCAACTCGGAGCATGTTGTTATGGTGGAGCCGATCGTCGATGTCATTGGCAATATGGAGCAGTTTGTCCATAATGAATTGAATTTTAACATTTGACTCTATTTTTTATTCTCGCATTTCGCTCATTTATTTTCTTATCGAATTTTTATTCTTTATTGTAACTATATTTTAAATAAATAAATAATGTATAATGAGACATTCGTTTTATATTACGGTAATAAAGACGATAACCTTTCTAATTGTTCATAAGTGTCGTGAACAATGTGTTTATAATCTTGAGAATAATTAGATATAATTTCCTTACAAATAGGTGTCGTATCATGATAAATAGTGATAGATTTTCTTGAGGGTGTGGGTCATATATCATGCTCTTAGCCACATCTAAACCCTCACTCACACCCTAAATTATGCTAGCTAGTCACACTCATACCCGCACCGCGAATCCACATGATGAGTGTTACTTGTTTTTTATTTACGAATAAAGTGGAGTAATAATAGTTGTCAAAGGAGTGGCTTATATCAGTGATACACGACCTAAGGTTCGAAGAAGTTCAAGAAAGAGACACCAAGGGAAGGGTGCATGTAGACGATCTACTTCCATTTCGTCTTTTACATTAGTGTCTGCATTCACTATGCTCAATCGACAGTCGTCACAATTTATTGTAAGTATAAACGTGCAATTTTCTTCATCTTTGTTTGGTAAGTTTGATTTGCAGGTTTGCCCATTACAGCTGCTGTACTTACTCTGCAGCCACCAACCATATGTAGAGGGAGTTTTATCATACTTTGGAGCTGCCTGATAAAATGGTATGAGCACTATATTTCTTGAGCGAATACCCAAGAAAGCATTGCCATGGTGTAATTTCACTTTAATTTGGTAAATGCCAGACGAATAAGAATTACTTCCAAGAGTACATCCATAAGCACCAGTTTTAAATTTTTCGCACGTTCGTCCATGATCGATTATTTGAATAGCATACTCGTCAGGCCTATAAACTGTTTCAAATTTTTCATCTTCTACTATATTTCCATCAGTATGATTGGTGGACAATAATGTAGATGATGCCATTTGCTATTTCACGTTGTGTTCGTTAAAATTTGTTGTTTACTGTCCTTTAGGATTATTATGTATGTGTTGCACTATTTGCTTTTTTTTCTCGATTTGTTACTCATTGACGCATTGCCTTACAAACGATGAAGAAAAAATACCGTTCTCTACTCTTTTCTTGTGCTTGGTTACTTTGCGACACAGGATGAGACTTATATAGAAGAAATGCCGTTACTACGGTTTCTTGAAGGTGTGGGTGTGAGCATTCTATTCTTTCAGCACTTACACGCACACCCTGGTGAGTAAGTGTCCTAGCGAGCAACTGTCTGACGAGCGAATGTCCTAAACCCTTTATAAACATCATAATATATAAAGAGAAGTTATGTTTTTTTTCAAAATTCATTAAAACACAAGGCATATTTTGCAATGCTGGTGAATTACTAAATAAAAATGATAGAAAGTATGATATGAATTTATATTCTTCACAATAATATCCTTGAATAGTAATTGTCTCAGGCTTTTCGTAACTTGATTATGTGTTCAAGTCTCTTTTTCTTTTTTCGTTTGGATTATCACAAATAGTTGAATGCGTACCAAGGGAAGAAATAAAGAAAAATCGTGAAGGACTACGTAAATGATTTGCTTTGCACTGCACTGATAATTAAAATCTCTTTTTTTTCTTATTAAATATGACACATTTTTTCAGTGCCATTATAACACTTATTACGAACAATCTTTTGTGTTGTGCAACTGCAATCTTTAATTATGCACTTTTTCTTTTTACAAATATTCTTAGTATCAATCAATAAAGGATGAAATCTCGAGGTGGGTGTGAATATAAGAGAGGTATCACATGCACACCCACATCTACATCCACCCTCAAGATTTATGTAAAATCTTTAGAAATTGTGAGAATTGCTCAGCACAACTATGACAATTTATTGAAACATTTATGCGTAAGATCTATATAAACTATATTATTCAGACATGATTTCTTTGTAGTTTATTGCTTATATTTAGATTATTAACCTTTAAAATCAATATTACTACATGTAGATTAGTTGAAATAGTAAAAAAATAGTGATTCTTTTTAGAAAGTAATATTTAAGAAAAAGAAAAAAAATGTGGGGAGAATCCACCAGTATCACTATAAAAATGCCATACGTCTCACACTTTAGTTAATCTATGAGCTACTCATTCTATAAATAAAGATAGGTAATTATGAACAATAAATGGTGACGGAAATATTTAGGTTAGATTATTTTTCATTCTTTTTCATAATATCTATTGTTTTTCAACTTAATTGCTCGTTTTGATAAAAAATCTGCGTATATTTATCACTTTTATTGAGTTAAATTCGAAAGAGATTGGGTGTGGATGTGGGTTGGAGTGAGTGTGAGTATGAGTATTATATCTATCACATACCTACATCCAAGCCTACTAAATATACTAACAACTTAATGCTGATCTTGAAGAATAGTATCATTTTCAGCAACTGTATAACATTCTTACATAAGATCTTTTACTGAATGAATATTATTAAGCCATTCAATCATATTTAATTTTGATGACATTGGAATGATTGAAAATAGACAAAAAAATAAAAATTAAATACAAATATTTTTCATCGTCAATTTTTCTGGTATAAGAAAAAAAATATGCTGCACACTTGTCGAAACTTCATTAATGAACAATTAGAGAACATGTTTATAATGATTACAAGTTAATAGAGAGATATAGATTTTAATCATAATGGATGTTTTATATTCTTTACAGATAATTGAAATGCTTCATGCGCGTTGTCAGATTATGACAAAATTCTAATGTATTTCATAGCTGAAAATCTCATATACATGTATGATGATGTTGGCGCCAATTACATGTTAATGGATATTCTTGAAATGTACATTTATCAAGTGGAGTTTTGAATATAAAATAATTATAATCAGGACTATGTATTGTTGTACATTCAAAAAGAAAATTTGTTGAATAATTTAAATATTTATCTTCAATTTTTATTGAATATAATTAATCAACTAAAGTAATAAGACGATGATGCGCTGATACACTTAAACATTTTGTACTATGCCGAGAATTACGACAACAAACTCATACATATTCATTTTAACTCGATAAAAATTCTCATAATAATTCACCTACATAATAATAAAATCTGTCAGATATTTGTAATGTTGTTGATGTTTTTATTTTATTTTTTTATATATTGTGTTATATAGTTATTTATCTATTTACATATTTCAAATGTCCAATAGTGACATTAATTAAGATCATTAACAGATCAAATTTGAGTAATTTCAAATAATTGATCATGAGTTAATTTTGGCAGAAGTTTAAATAAATATGATATACAGTAGAATTTATTATAAGGGAATAATTAAGAATCGACTGAAAACAATGAAAGTAAAATGATCTTATCTGAAATTATTGTTATTTATATGAAGCATTCGATATAAGAGAATTTATCACAATCTAATTAAATAAGAAAATGTTAATAGTTCAATGATTAAATTCTTTTACTAAAGATTTATAAAAAAAATATATTGTATCAACCATAATCAAATGAATTTTAATTAAAGAACTGTTTCTCATCTTTATTTTTACGTTCTCATAATCATTCTACAAAGATATCCACCATTAAACTCAAGTATAGTTTAAATTATATAACAACCATATTAATTTATAACATCGTTTTTCAGAAATGATTATCGAGATGCAGTGGAACATCTCAATTAACAGATCATAATTAAGAATACGAAAAGATGCTTCATTTGACAGAATATAAAAATTTTGGAAAACTTTTGCTCCTACTAAAAAGATATTATAAACATTCCACATCTACACCCCCAGTAATATTTGATAAATAAAAACCTTTTTTTAAATCAATATAACATGAACACAACATTAAATAAATCATTATCATTGAAAAGATCGAATGTATGGTTATAGAACGTGAATGAGTGGCAATGATGGCTATTAAAGTAATGCAATAGTCATACTCAAAAGTAAAAGTTTCTATGATGAGGATAGGTGAATAAGCCATAGCGATTTTCCCGTCAGTTCATGCAAACACTCAAAAAGGATTGTAATTTGGTTTCTTACGATAACTTTCATCGAAAAGTATTGCATTTACTCTATTTCAAAACTATTTCCTAAAGGAAAAAAAAATATAAACTTGTAGTGCAAAGAAAAATAAATTTATCAAATAAAGTAATGACGCAGTCTTTAAAAGTCAGTGAAGCCAGAATTCAATTTTCTAATGATTGTTTCCATCATAATTTCATTTTTACAAACACTTAACTAATAAAATGTGTTAGAGAAGCAAAACAAAATCTTTTTTGTTTTAAATTAACAAGAACGGTATTTTATAATCTTTGGAAAAGAGACGATTGGTAGATTTGTTCATGCGTACTCTAACTTTCTTTTTGCTTATCTACAATATGAATTTACATTCCACGTGGCAAAATGATGCTTTATGTGTGTTTACATGAATTTATTTCATTAAAATGATGAAAAAACTATGAAATATGAACAAGAAAGAAAAACATTTTTTTTTAAATAAAATAAATAGCCTATAACTTGTATATTTTGTTTTGTTTTGTTGTTATCGTCAGTTGAAAAGGAAGAAAGTATTTTCAAGAAGAGTTTTTCTGTATTATATAGAATCATCCTTTCAATGCCGTGGAATTGGTTCTTAGAATTTAAAACTAAAATTAAACGCATCAATTTATTTAAAGATATTAATGAAACAAATGAAGAAGATATCAAAAATCAAAAAATATCGACAATTATCTTTCTTATTCTGTTTACAATATCAATTGTTGCACTCTTTCTCTATTCATCCTTAACTCCTATAACAAAAACGGTAGTTGTTGAACAACCTTCTTTATCCGATTATAAACAATTAGAAGAGAGATATTCAAATACATTATTATGTGCATGTACAAGTGTTTCAAATGAATATAACAAATTCATATCATCATTTACACCGACTTTCAATCAAGTCTGCTCAAGTGATTTTGTTAGTGATGAATGGCTCAATTATGTTAATTATCGTTTATTTCTTGAACCACAATATCATTTTGTTTTCGATTTTCGTCATTCAGCTTATGGATTTTTTGCTATGTTACGTACACTTTGTGTATTAGCTAAACAAACAATTGATGATCAATTAATTTCATTCTATTCTACAATTTTACTTACAGCAAATACCATTTCAGAAGATATATTTTTAGCTAATATACATGCAAGTCGAGATCAATTTATAAATGCAAGTGCAACTGATTTTATAATTACACTTGATTCAGTTATATTAATGGGATTAGTTAGTAATGCGGTCATTAATCGATTAGAAACAAATTGGCAATTGTCTATTTGGCTATCCTCGTACTATAATCTATTTGGCCCAGCTTGGGCAGGTCAAGCATATTCATTAGTTGGAAATTGTGTATATCCAACCTCTGTATACTGTAGTATAACAACAGGTATTTATTTAAGAAAGCTTCCTAATGAAACATCATCTAATTTAACCTGGGCAAATTATCGAGCAGAATTACAATTCGAAGTTCCAGGTGTACTTGTAGGTCCTTTCATACTCCATTCTGTTCTTCAATCAAATCTTTCATGTTTATATGATGAAAGTTGTTTATCGAAGCTAAACACATATTTAAATGATTCACCTTCTCCATTCAATGCAACACCTTTAGCAATACCTTCTTCTGCTTCGCCTCTTCCAACCATTAATGATACAGCCAGAAAATTAATGGTGGATTCTTGGCAACTAAATTCATCTTATCAACAGTATTTCAATGTGTGCAATCCATTAACTTGCACATATACTTATATTCATCAGTTTAATATTCTTTTTATTATTACGACTGTTATTTCATTTATTGGTGGAATTGAAACAGTTCTCATGATCGTAATATTACCGACAGTCAAATTCTTAAGAAAAAAAGTTAAAACTTTCAACCGATTGTTACCATCATCATCAGAAATTGTACCACATGAAACTAATATTGGTACGTATTGCAACTAGGATGCTAGAAATTGACTGGAAAGACTCTGCCAGATGTCAAGGCATAGAGATTCAATAAGGAAAGAAGAAACCGAAACTCTTGATCACTCTCTTCTAACACTAGGGAGCCACGGTGTGGGTGTGGATGTGGGTGTGGATGTGGGTGTGGGTGTGGGTGTGGGTGTGGGTGTGGGTGTGGGTGTAGGGTGGAGCGGGTGTGAGTATGAGTATTATATTTATCATGCACCTACACCTACACCCGAGCTGTCGCCTACGAAACATTAGAGTTCAGCACTATGGTTTTATACGAAAGCATAAAGGTGTCGTATTTTCTGTCGAGACCTTTTCGATGGGTTCGCTAAGATACCTTTTCTATTTACAGTGTGTGAGTAAGATATACAGAAAAATATTTTTGCATAACAGCTTTTCTTCTAACTAACATGCAACTTTTTGTTTGCTGATGTGAAATTATTTCCACGTCACCATCAGTGGCGCAGCTAGGATTCTCAGATAAATGGCAAATTTAGGTAATATCGGAAAAAACAGTGGGCGAGAAGAGCTAAAGTTTTTCTCGATAGGTTAAAGGGTTTTTATCTTGATAAAAGTTTTAGAACTAACAGAACACAAGAAAAGAAATGTGATTAATTTTCATCGAATTTACATAAAAAATTTAATGAATTAGACGGAATAAAAAGACTTTTATTAAATAATCCACTAATAAGTACAGCAATTGCAAAAGAATGAAGGCTCAATAGACAACGATTTACTAGCGCAGAATTGTGATAGGCAAATGCTAAAATAAAATGAGCAATTTTCCATTTGCTCTCCCTAGCTACGCTACTGATCATCATATTTATTATGTTTTTCTTTGTATTCTTTTATAGAACGGCAAGCTGTTGGTGATATCACTGAGCAACAAATTTCATTATTTGTTAAAATAAAAACTTTTATACTCAACCTTAACTTTTTCTCAGATCCAGATGAAAACAGTGAATGGCATTCATATGGTCAACGTCTTTCAACTCGATTATTCATCATTTCAATAATTATTGCATTTTTTATACTTATTCTCTATGCATCCACATATTCTATTACAAAAACGATCAACATTAACAAACCTTCGATTGATGTTTATTTTACTCTTCAAGATAAATATCCTCAAACACTGACCTGTCCATGTTCATCAACTACAAATGAAAACTCTCAATTCGTATCATTTCAACCTACACAACATCCAGTTTGTCATTCAGATTTTATTACAGATAACTGGACTAACTATTTAATAGCAAAGAGCGTGGATGGTATAGGTTCACTCGATTTTCGTTACAACAATGAAGCATTCTTTCCAACTATTTTATCTTTTTGTCAACTATCATTGAAAACAATCAATAATGAAATACTCATATTCAATTCAACAAAATATGTTACAAAATCTGTACAACAAATAGATCTATTTAATTCTCAAACACAACAACTCATCAGTAATATGAAGCAAACAATAGTGAATTTGTTTCAACTTTCAATCTCAATGTTACGTCAAACAGTTTGGGGAAATGCATTGTTTTCTCTTGACACTTATTGGTATACACCTGACCCACCGATTAATTATAATTATAACTCAACAATAAATCCTCATGATTTAAATCTTATATTTTATCCGCGTTCTTATCAACCTAACAACGACACAACATGTTCATGTAAAATCAATCCAACTACATGCAATGTATTATCTGAGGTCACTTATATAAACGACACGGTAAATAAAATTTAATATTTGATAAAAAAAAGACATTTCTATAGAATATTCGTTGCCTATTTTATGTTTTACATTCAAAAGCAACATACATCATATTTTATTATTCCGCATTTCGCATTAGCTTTAAATGAGTTTCTTTCCTAAGATTTAACACAAACAGTCAGACATCAATAATATATTCGTAACGGTTATGAAAAACTACATCTAACGATGTATAGTTCATGCTGATATAAATAAAAATATTTTAAATTATTTTTCATATTTTATGTACTTACCTTGCCGTAAACATAAACTTCGAATGACGTTATATTTTTTAATTGAAACAATATATTTTGTTTTATCAAATTATTTAATACTAGTTGAAAAAGAAAGTATAATACGAATAGAGAGTTACACTTAAACATGTGTGAAATCATGCTTTTTCGATCTTTATAAAGCGTTCCTTTTTCTATAGCAAGATATTAGGCTGACAGTAATGAAATGATTGATGTTGCACGACAAAAATTGCATTTCAGTATTAATAGAGTTAAAATATGATATAAGTTCATATTCAAGTTCCGATTATAGTACAGTTTTTTGCTGATACTGATTCCAGTTCTGCACATATCTAGTCCTACTATCATTAGGTATTTCTTATAGTAAATGGCTGATATTGCTTTCTAGGTTCCGAATGAGACGGTACACAATCTATATACTGTTCCTAGTCAGTGTTTCTAATGACAAGTGTATCAAGCATAATCAAAATGTACAGAACACTTGCTCCTCTCGAAATACACGCTGCGGTACACTTGCCCCAAAAAAACGAGTGTACGAAATACACTTGGTTTAATAAAATAACACTTTGCTTCTAACTCTGACAGTTTTTAAGAATATTGTGAATTTTAAAAGTTATGTCTAAACAATGAAATATTGTGACCTTTTTTTATACTAATTATCATTCGTATGTTGGATAGATAATTGCACTTGCATTTATTGTGTATTTATTTATCCAACATTGTTTAATTGTTTTACAAAAGAAAATCATGAACACTCTTCTATTTTTCAATTCTTTATTTTATATTAAACGTCAAGTGTGTACACTTTGACACACCTGGGATACGAAAACAAGATGTATACATATACTTGGCTGAGAAAAATAAAATGTACATATACATTTTGTTTTAGGTTTCTATTAGCAAACCTATTCCTGGTTATTATTTGGGTTGTTATCAGGGTGAATCAATGTTTCGTTCTACTTTTGAATGTTTTTTTGATCAAACATGTATACAAACAATCTATAACTTAACAAATTCAAGATCAAAATATCCATTTAATGCAACTGCAATGCAATTAAATAGTAGTCGTTATAATGTAACAACAACTGTACAAGATATTGTTTATGATTTAATGATTGAAGAATGGAATACTGAAACATCATTTCAGTTTTATTTTAAACAATGCAATCCATATTTATGTTCATATTCATATGATCTCAAAGGAGATATTAGTTATGTAATTGCAATTATATTTGGTTTAATTGGTGGATTAACAACTATTTTAAAAACAATTATTCCATCTACTGTATTAATAATTAGACGGTGGCGTCAAAAAAGAAAAATTGATATTAATCAATCAATGATTAATCAAGGTATCTAAAATTTACTTTAAAAAGACTTTTGAATATAGAAGAATCGTATAAAATCACTACATATTTAATAATTTGATCTCTGTTTTCTTTATAAGCTAAGTTAAGAGCAACTATTAATTGTATTTTGATCTTATTGATGAGAACTCTCATTAATTTTCCTTTGTAACATTTGATCACTTAAAACTTTTCTTTCAAAAATACGATTACAAGAATGGAAAGTCTTTTGCTGAAGATAAGTGTTTGTATGGAATGATTTTGACATAAGAACTGATATTAGATGAGAGATGTCTGCCATGATTAAATATCTACCGCAACATTTCCGAAAAAAGTATTTCGAATTTTGTTGATGTGGCCGTTTTGGACCGGATGTCTCGAAAGTTTTGCGACATTTCTTATTTTGCATATATTTCGACAAAAGAAAATGACAGAATGTTGATTTTTTTTGAAAAGATGCACTATAAAAAATTCTTATTGTACATGAAAACTTTTTCCAAATATTTTTATTACGACGAGACAAAGTATTATTATATAGGTCGTTCATCTTAAGTATAGGAAAGACATCAGAATAAGTCAAGAAGAAATGTTTTGTGTGGTTTCCGTACACTTTTTCAAAGCGCATCTAGTCAAAAAAATGATCAACATGTTGTTATTTTCAATTTATGTTGTAAAATGAATAATAATTAATTGTTTGTATGATTCTTTAGATATACAAACAACAACAATAGGACAGAAATTAAAAATAAGTATTTTAACATTTAATTTATTTAAAAACCGAAACAAAAGATCTGCAGAACAATTACAACAACAACGTTTTTCAACACGTTTTTTTCTCATAATTACTCTAATTACTTTAATTATTTTAGTATTTTATGTTTCTTTTGAAAATGTTACATATACAATTATTAAGAAAAATCCAACAGTTATTGACTTTAATAAACTTTATCAAAAATATCCAAATACTATTCAATGTCCATGTCAAACATATTCAATTCCATATGAACAATTTATTACATTTCAACCTAATTTACATTCAATTTGTTCAAGTACATTTGTTGATGAAAACTCACAATGGCTTATAATTGATTATCCACAAGCAATGTTAATACATTCTGCTCGAAAAGATGATTTTCGACAAATTGGAAGTCCATTTTTTCAACTTCTAAATTCATTTTGCAATTTATCAAATAAAACAATCAATGCAGAATTGACAACATTTAATTCAAGTAGATTTATTACATTGAATTTAATTGCATCTGAACAATTTCAAACTCAGATAAATCAATTAATTAATCAATTTATAAAAAACACAGCTCGTTCATTTATTAATTCACTCTTTTTTGTGGAAAATATGACTGCAGCAAATATGTTATTTTCTACATTTCAATCAGATTCATTGTATTCATCGGCATCTCCAATATATGATTATTATACGGATTCAGTTTATCAATATGAAAATATTTATGATCGAACAGATCAGATATATAATTCAAATGAAACTGGAATTGATTGTGATTGTCAAAGTACACCATGGTGTATTCAACAAGCAATTGTTTATGATTTAGATACAATAAGACAACTATTTTCTCCACCAGGTAAAGTTCTTTCTATGTCTATGCCTGTATAAATGTAAAAGAAAATAGATTTGAGAGCATATAAATATGATTGAAAAAATTGTTGTTGTTGTTTTTTTCTGCTTTTACTCATTATTATCAATATCGTGACAAGCAGCGTTTGCCTATATGGTTGCTGGAAAACGACACATGTAGATCTTTTCTCTATTTTTTTCTCTTCACTTTCGTATTTTCATAAAATCTGCTGATTTCCAAAATTTTCGCAGAGCAAACTTGGCAAAAATATACTTTCTATCGTAATAAATGTAGACCTATTTTCACGAAAAATCCTTTATTTCAGAAGAATTCAGTTCTTTAAGGATTCTTCTTTTTTTTTTTAAATATCGTAATTGGAGATCAATTTTATATAAATATATGATTTATTCAGATATTTTCTTTGTTCATTTTACATAAATAATTTCAAAAAAAAACTGTGTTGATCAAATATTTAGAAAATATAGAGTCTTCCTTTTGATTAAGTGATTATTATGTCTTGATGAAAAAAAATATGTATATATATTTCATTATTTTTAGGTATATTTGTTGGATGTTATCTTGTTGAAGCAGTTTTACAAAGTGATCTAAGATGTTTCTTCGACACTGATTGTTTACAACAATTGCTCGATAGTTTATCTTTAGAAAATATCAGTGTATCGGATATTATTTTAAACTCAACAGCAAGTCATTATCAAGAAAAAAGTTCTTTATTAGAAATTGTTTCAAATTTAATGGTTGAAGAATGGAATAATCAAACATTTTATGATAATTATTTTAATATATGTCAACCATCAGTTTGTACAGCAACATATATTAGCCGTGGAGATATTATTTATATTATAACAACAACTATAGGATTGATTGGAGGATTAACAACAGTCTATAAATTTGTTGTACCAATATTTATAAAGATTATTGTACATGTAATCATTCCGTTTATACGAAAAAAATGTGATAGAAACAATCATGCAGAGATATGATAGAATGGCTGGTGAATCTTTGACTTTTCTCTTTTACTTTTAAGTCAATGTTGTCTTGCATCTTATTTACATTAAGAGTAATAAAATGATCTTTTTTCACATATTTTTCATTTTTAAACTATGTAGTAAAGTCATTTTATTATTGATTAATATATCGCTTTATTTTTTTTTCTTCATTTGCTTAAGTTCATTTTATTACGTCATGTTTTCAATATTTATTTATGCTCTTATAATTTTATATAAATAATCTTGCAAAATATAAAAATATATGATTAATGTAAAAATTTCAAAGTTAAGTTAAAGAAAACGGATGATGGTGATGATGAATTTTGACATTTAAAAAGATAACCACCCACCATCTTGAGAGTGAATGCGGGTGTGAGCCAAGAGAAAAGACACCCACACCCGTTTCTTTTGTTTAATTTCATGCATCTAATTAGTATACAATTGGTTTAGAACAATCATTTAATTATTTAACTCCTGCTGGCAACTGAATATAATTAATTCGTATGTAAAATTCTTCCGTTTTGTATTATTGAGTTATGCGACATATTATCTCAATACAGATGTACATCTAGTGTTCTCTACGAAAGGTGAGAAAAAGTAATCATTCAAGCAAAATCTAACAACAAAGAGATATTTTCATTTGATTTATTACCACTCTAGTACTAGATAAAAAGTGATAATTTACTTATATATATATATTTTCTAATTAGTAAACATATTCATATTTTACATTGACATTGAGAATCATAATTCAATTGCTCATTTTCTTTGCCTATGTTGTATTCAATGTGTTAATTGTGAAACTCTACTATATGCGTATATTGTTGATATAATAATAATTTGTTTTTCATCGTGATCTAGGTTTTGACTGAGATAATTTCATCGACATATGTTAGTTTTATTTTATATAAACAGAAACATGATATGAAGAAATTAGTTTCATCTAGATTCTTTTACAAACATAAATCTGCATTAAACGGAAAGTTTCATAACTTCAGCACTTTCGAAACAAACAAACTAACTAAATAATAGATGACACTACTGATTACATCTAAAAATGGATGGACTTTTTTAACGTCTTCAAAGATGTTTTTTCTTGATTATGATTTGAAGAAATTTAAAAAAGATAGTCGAAGTTTAGGTCTTCTGTTTCACTCTTTAAGAGATATCAAAGTGAATTGATTTGGATTGGTACAGTATAATATCTGATACATCAATGACAAAAATATATTTTGAATAGAGCTAATTGAGAAGATAAATAGTTCAATGTCAAACCACTTATTAAATCATCGTTTATCATTTCTAATAACTTTTATAAGACGTTCAATAATTATTCGATCTGATTTTGGTTTGGATATGAAAATGAAATTATTGAATGATAATAAATAATTTGAAAAAGCACTTCAAGTATTTGATAAAGATAAGAAAAACAAGCTTTAATCATTTTCTAGTTTGATGATTACTCAAGCTTTGAAAGCCTTTGCTCATCTTGGAGATCTTCAACGTGGTATAAATATGCATCATACTATTTCATCACGTATAAATAATGATTCTTACATATTCGCATCATTAATTCATTTCTATAGTAAGTTTTAATAAAAAACATTTTTTCTTATTAGTTCTATAATTAAAGTAAAATGTGGTATTATGGAAACTGCTAAATCATTATTCGACACAGCAACAAAAAAAATCATTATTAATATATGCAGCAATGATGAAAGGCAGGCATTATCAGATTTCGAATCATATTAAATTAGATTATTCTCCTTAGATCATATTAAAAATAATCAAGCATATAAAGCAATGGATCTTTCCAATGAGATTGATAAACCGAATGATGTTATTATTATTCTTTTATTTAATACTTGTGCTCAATTAGGAACCACAGAAGCATCAAATTTAGCAAAAAGAGTTTCAAAAACAATTCCACAATTGTTTTACTCAAATCTTCATCTTCTAACTTCTTTATTAGATGCATTAATGAAATGTGCTCAATTATTGTTTGATAGATCAACAAGAAAAGCACTATCGATGTATGGAGCAACGATGAATGGATATAATAAAGATAAAAATCCTTCTAAAACATTAAATTTATTTTATCAAATGAAAATGGATGGTATTGAACCAAATTTCTACCTCGATTTTTGTTGATAATCAAATTCACTATGCACTAATCGATATGTGGGTAAGTTTAAATAAACGATCTTTTCATTTTTTTTCAATTTATAACATCTATTTAGGGCAAAACTGGATGCGTCAGTAAAGCAGAAGAAGTTTTGGAAAAATTCCTCAGCCAGATCAAAAAATATTCCAAGAATTCTCTACTTCAAACAGGATACTATTTAAAAGGCTAAATCAAATGTCTCTTCTGAAATGTTAAAATCGGATAATTATAATTTATTCTCCAATTCTTCTAAAACTTGTTTTTTCTAAGTAGAAATTTTCTTCTATATATGTGTCAGGATAGTGATATTGATGAAAATGATCTACAGTAGCTAGTTGTCAAAAAAAAGCAAATGTCCGTGGTAATTTTTTATTGAGAAAAGAAAATGTGAAAAAAAATAGCAAAAATATAAATACAAAATCTAATCATATATCGGATGCTGTTTCATCCTGATCACTATTCTGATCTTCCGCTGTAGGCGTAACATATCTTGTAACATGTGGAAATTGTTTACGAAAAAATGAATCAAAATCTTCGGTAGTCATTTTTACTATATGAACACGTGTAAATTCTATAGCAGCCATTATATCTGGATGACAAATTTCATGTGCTTTTAAATCATGAAGAACCTTTTTAAATCCAGGAGGAGTCGGTATATTACCAGGCTAAAAAAACAAAATAATTTACTTCTTCGTTTTATATAACTAAAGAGACAGAGAAACTTACGTCAGCATATTCTTTTAATTCTTTTAAAAGAAGTTTTATTAAATGATCTTTAGAATAATCAGGTTCAACCATTTCTAATAAATCAATATACCTATTTAAATAAAAAGAAAAGAAAAATTTTCAATAAATTATAACATATGAAAAATATTTTTCTTATAGACCATGGTTGATATTTGAGATGAACAGGATTTATTTTCTTTTTACTTTCATCAAAACGTATTTTATTTAGTAATGAACTAATCAGAGTTGATTTTGGCATATGTTGTTGCATAGCATTTAATTTTGATTGATAATAAATAAGACGACCATTGTCTAGTTGTTGGAGTCTATTATTTAGAACAATAGCTTGTTCCTCAGTGAAATCATTTACGTCTCGTTTATATTGATGTAATATTTGTGCATGCTCTTTAGCATTAGTGAATCTAATATGACAAATAGTCTTTTTTACAAAAAAGAAAATAGAATATTTTATACTTAGCACTTGCTGATGCTCGACGTTTAACATTTACTACAGGTTTACGTTCAGCCTTAAGAATTTGACGTGCTCTTACTTGTTCTTTAATCGTATTTGTCGAATTTTCTAATCCAAATATACGATTAAGATCATCTTTATCACCTACACGTAATAGACGTTTATCTCTTTCCTAAAAATTTTTATTTTCAATAATTCTTTGTTGGAATATTTTGAAATAATAATAGAATAAACTTACAGTTATTGGTAAAGGTTCATTTGGATTATTTGTTAATGCATGTCGTTTAATCCATTTTTTAAGCAGCACATCAGGACTACGTTGTCGTTCCAAAATAGATGCCAAACCAACTGATATACGATGATCAACTTCTCGACTCATCGTACTTGATATTGATGTTCGACTTGTATTACTTGTTGGAATAATAGAATTAGCTCTTGTTAATGGTCGAATACTATCTAAATTTGTAGTTTCTGTTGTATCTTCTAGATTACTTTTTGATGAAATTGATTCGTTTAAATCACGTTCACTATGAATCGAATGTATTGGTAAAACTACTCGTTCACTAGTATCACTTGTTATATTACTTGTAGTTGAACCATCTATTATGAAAATAAAACAAAATATTTTTCAGATGTAAATAATTACCAAAACTAGTATCAAATATACGAGATACATTTGTTTCTTGAATTGAATTTTGTTTTCTAAAATTCTATAATAAAAGATACATGTGAACAATGTGTCAAATGAAGAATAAGTATGTTTGTCTTTGCTTACGTCAAAAGCTATACTTGAAGGTGGACGTGATGCAATAATATTGTCTTTGGGTGTACTTGTCATTGATGTTAGTTTACCTTCAAATGAACTAATTTTCGGATGATATGCTTTCATTGGTTCTTGTTGTTTTTT